TAAATAAAAAATTAATTTGATGTTTATACTTTAGATAAAATATTTATTTAATCTATAAATCCAGCTAAAATCTCTTGCAATCGATTGTCCATCACGACCGATCATTGTCAATAAATTCAAAGATACTTTTGCCAAGCGTTAGGAAGGATACGATAACTATATAGAATGATTTCATTTCTCTATAACAAAATAATAGGAATTTATTGACTTCTGATAGATAGTAAAAATGTTAAAAACATGTGACTTGATCGATACCATTTAAATAATTAAATGATTTGATTAATAAAATTAAAAGATCAATTGTCAGATTAAAATACGCACATAGTTAAATACCACGAGATTAATTTACTCATATATTTAATACCCAAGCCAATCAAAATTTGATAAATTAGAATAATGTTCAATGATGATTTTGTAGTGGCAACTTAAAATTTATTTATGAAATATTATAATAACCTGAAAAGTTGAATTAATTAAGAAATCAAAAGTTTTAGATTTCATTTTATATTAGTAAAAGATCAAATGATCTTCAAATTCAGATATATTTATAAACAATCTTCGTAGTGGATATACTCATAGTTTCATTAGACTTGTGGATGGGGAGATAAAAAAAAGTGGGATTTCACTATTTTATTAAAGGTGAATTATATTAATAGTTATTATTTAACTTTTAAGATGTTTTCATTTGATCATTAAAATCGGGAAAAGAATTCACTGCAGTTACTATTGTTAAGAAGTTTTGTATTTTTTGTCACTTAATTGTTAAATCATTAGCAATAACTGATGTAAAATTTTCAAAAATTCTAAAAGTTCTTGCAAACATCACTCGTTCTTCCGCCATCATTTTTGTTGTGTTTGATGGTTTCTCCGATCAAAAAGATTATCGAATTACTTCTATTCTTCTTCTCTTTCTTTATTCTAGTTTAAACATGTCGGAAAACTTTCCAGTTATTCCAATTCTCAATTGAAACCGAAAGTTAGAACTTTTTTATCCTTTATTTTTAATAGTCTAATCAACTTAAAATCAAACTATGTTAATCTTATGGTCAAATGAAATATTCTCTCGATTAGATTAATCGATGGTCGCTCTGTTCATCAAAAAGTTTACCTTTATGGCGGTTATCAATTTGAAACCTCGAGTTTTTTTTCTTCTTTTTTGTAGGTGAATACTTAAATATGCCACATCAATTTTTTCTTAACGGTAACTAACGAGAGTTACTGTAATGTAAACATTGTAATGTAAATTTTAGAATTTTATTAACTAAAGTAAAAGTACCTTAAAAGTTTAGTGACCATCAATTTAATTTACCCTTTTAGATATAGTAATCTAATATCAAACCCCACATTCTTTGCTTTTTTAAGCTGATAACTGATCCTTGGAAAATATAATAATTTTCTTTCGTCTCTTCTAAAACGAAGAGGGATAAGACTAATGTATCAACAATGTTAGTTGACATAGACTATTAATTAATATAACATGAGATATTAAATTATCCAAGTAAACTTAGTGATTTAAATTTTAATATTGTTAAGAGAGATTTTTTTTAATATAAATAATTATTCTTATTAAAAATTAAAAATATTTAAAATTATAATAAGGGTTTATAATTATCGTAAACTAAATATATAATTTTTTCATTTTCTTATAACATTGAAACTAGTCAATTTATATCATACAAAAACCATACATAGAAAATAGTAAAAACTCAATCAAAAGATTTGAACAAAAATACATATAAATAAATTTGACAATATCGACAAACAAATCACAAAAAGAGATTAAGTTATTCAAAGACCACCGAGAACCACAAATCAAAGTTAAATATTATGAGAAACTATCTACGAACACAAGATCACATATCCATAGTATGAAATATCAACATGATTATAAATAAGGAACATCTTGAACAATTATGGTATCGACAAATCCAACTCTGAGAAAACGTAAAATAAAAAAGAATGACTAAATGACCGAGAAAGAAGACAAAAAATATGCTACAAAAGTTGAATTATTCTTATTAAAAAAACTAAAATAACAAAGAAAAAAAAGAATCAAATGTCTACAATCATCATCAAAACCAATGTCATTATCAGGTAAATAAAGTAAAAAAAAATTATATGATATATAGAAAAACAACACAAACCCTAAAGAAAAATATGAGAGGGCGGCTAGGGTTCCGTTGAGAGAGAAAATTGAATTTAAAGAATTCTTATAATAAATTTTAACAGTGTTTAATCTAAATTAATTAATTATTAATAATTATATTAGAAAACAATGTTAATGGTGGGTTAATTTAGATGGTTGGCCAACTAGTGGTGGGTCAAATATTTTTCTAAATACTACTATGATAGAAAAATATTTTTCTTGATAATTTGAAAAATAATAAATAAATGCACATAATGGGTTTCATATTTTGTGCTTAATGCTCCATCATTGTAACATTTGGACAACACTTAGGGATGGCATGGGACCCATATTTGATAAGTTTTAATCCGACTCGATTCGATCGAAATCGAGTCATATAAAATCTTTTTAAAAAAATTCAGGTTTAAGTCAAGTCGGTTTGGATTTTTTAGATGTTGTGTTCAGGTCAGGTTTGAGTTTGGGTTTAAGGTGAAAATTACTTAACTTGACCCGATCCGAGAAAAACATATAATTTTATCTTTATATTTAGGGATAATTACTATAATGGCTTCTATATATTATTTTTTCAATTAAGTATATATTTTTATTGAATAAAAATAATATTTTTAATAAATATATTATTTCGAGTCTAGTCAAGTCAGATTCAAATTTTATATAAAAAAATCAGGTTAGATTGAGAGTGTATATTTCTCGAGTCGAGTTGGAGAATATATGATTTTTAGGTCAAGTCAATTGACCAAAAATCTGACCGACCCGTACCGTACCCATCCCTAACAGCACTATAATTAACATATAATAGTAAACTATCGCAATGACGGGTCCACATTATCTCGAGGGACAGACTTGTTTCTAAGATTAATAGCTTGGGATAAACATAAAATTTAGACCTTTAATAATAAATATAAAAAATAAATTATAAAAACACAAAAAAAACAAATAATTTTATTTCTAAATTATTTTCTTTATTACGTTTAATAAACCATATAATAAATACATTAACTTTTAAATAGAAATATCAATTAATTTTATTAAACACCAAACTAATCCCACAAAAAAACACGACCCTTTTTTAAGAGGGCACATGTTCCATTTCAACCATCTATTTCTTGTCAAAAAATAATAAAAAGATAATTAAGTGAAATGTAAAAAAATAATTAAAAAATACCACATCAATATTACTATTTTTTTTAATAATAGATAATAAATAAAATGTAATGTTAAATATAATTTTTTTTAAAAATAATTAGATGACGAAACCAGAAATAAAATAATAGATGAGTGATTAAATAAATAATTTATCCCTTTTTAATTATACGTGGATTTCATAATTTTGAGCCTTAGGCGTAAGAGAATTCTGGGCAGGTGCCTCTCCTGTCCTGACTCAATTACAAGTCTATCGAGTTTATAAAATTTAAATTTTTTTCAATTAATTATCTATTTTATTGATAGTGTTCATTTTAAAATTTTATTTGGATACACTCATTCAAAAAATTTATATTATTAATGTATGTGTGTCCACCTTATAAATATTTTTAATTCATTTACCAAAATATGGCCTCGCCACTACATTTTAATATAATTATAAATATTTTAAAAAAATAGGCTCGTCTATTTGTTCAACATCTTGAATTTCTAGAACCAAAACCATCATATTCAATAGTTGACAACTTGACAGGATGAAATAATTAGAGCATATTCCCTCCTCGACGTCATACGCAAACCATTGCAGCCTTTCTTGAAACGAAATTTGAATCCCCAAACGTCAACTAAATCCATTTTCTTAAACGCCAGTCAACTATTGCCTTTATAACTCTATTTTGCCCATATTTTTAAATCACAAGTTGCAAATATATAAAAAATTATGATTTATTCATTTAAAAAAAATAATTTGGGATTATTATAAAATTATATCTATTTAAAATATTTTTTAATCATCGACAATGCATGTATATCATGTAAATGTAACTATTTGGAGCGAATAATACATTAAATAATATTTTTTATTAACGTCAATACATATTTTAGTGATAGTTTATAAATTTTATCACTAATATTTTTTTTTCACTTATTTTGTAATTAAAATTAAAAGTTTTCAATTCACTCATTAATTTTTTTATTTACTTCTATTTTAATCATTCGAGTGTTAAATTATAAATGAAAGGATGATACATCAATCATGTGTCGATGTAAATTGTTTTTTATTGACATAAAATTCATGTGTCATTCACGTAACTTTTTTTCTATTATCTTTTCGTCCAAATTTAAAAGTTTTATAATTTTATTAATTGCATATCATGTAAACATTGTCTCATTGTCTCTAACTACTCTATCGGTTTAAATTTTACTTAAATAATTTTAAAACTCATAATACTCAATCCTAAACTCAAAACTCGTAAAACTCTAAACCACAATGATCAATAGAATCTATCATTCGATCAGTGTGAAATTAAAATATACAACTCGTTTCCTCTTTTGCCTCTCGAACGTTAAAATTTAAAATAAGAATATTAAGTTATAATGTTATCGAGTATTTAATCATCGAGTGGTCAAAATATAAATAAATTAAAATTTTAAGAAATAAATTAATTTTTTTTTAAAATTAAACCATTAAATAAAAATAAAAGAAGTAATTTAATCATTAAAACTGAATCGAGTCAATAGTATTACTCCTTAATTCTATGAAGTCAGAGCTATTTCCAATAATAATAATAATAAGATTAGTCAGAAATTAAGAAGACTTTTTTCTTTAATAAATGCGCAAGGGAAACCTGTGACCTGACCGGCCATCACCGGTCAAACCACCGCTTCACCGGTATACCGTTTTATTAGACCACGAGGTCAGAACCGTACGAACGTTAGCCTGGGCAAAAAAGAAAAAAAAAAAGCCAATCCTCATCTGTCCATTCACAATTCAATTCTGCTTTCCATCTGCCAACTGCATTTTTGGCGCAAAAGAACCAAAGCTAAAGGCAAAGCAAAGCCTCCCTCTTTCATTCATTTTTGCAACCATTTTTTGCCTTATCTCTTTGCTTTTCATCTTTCATTTTCTTCTCCTTTGCAAAAGGTTTTGCTTGTTTTTCAATTAAAGTTTCAATCTTCTTTGTTACCCTCCACCTTGGGTTTTCTTTGTTCTTGCCGTTTCCTTTGTTAATATGGGTGTTCATGAGTGTTGGGTTATGGTTTTTGTTCTTGTGTTCTTGTTCCAAGCTCAATTGTTCAACTCACAGAACTTGACTTGCAATCAAAACGACTGGATTTCTCTCCAGGGTTTTATGAGCAATTTAACAACAAAATTTGAAAGTTGGTCGACAAATTCATCAGCTGATTGTTGTGACTGGGAAGGGATCACCTGTGATCCTCCATCTTCCGGTAGAGTTATCAAGTTGGAACTTTCCGGGAAAAGATTATCCGGGAAAATATCTGATTCTTTAGCTGGTTTGGATCAGCTAAAAACTCTCAATCTCTCCCACAATTTCCTTAAATACACACTTCCTCAGTCTTTGTTTCATTTGCCGAATTTGGAGCAACTTGACTTGAGCTATAACGATTTCTCCGGACAAATCCCAGAAAGCATCAACCTTCCTTCAATTCAATTCCTTGAAATGTCTTCCAATTTGATGGATGGTTCCCTTCCTTCACATATATGTGCTAATTCTACTCGGATTCGGTACCTTAGTTTAGAAGTGAACTATTTCTCTGGTAATATTCCACCGGGGCTTGGAACTTGTTCTTCCTTGGAGCAACTTTCTCTTGGCATGAATGATCTCACTGGTGAGATAGCAGAAGACATCTTTCAGCTTCAAAATTTGAGCCTTTTGGAGCTTCAAAATAACAGATTTGATGGGAAGCTCAGTCCTGGTATGGCTAATCTCTCTAAACTTGTTCGTTTAGATATTTCTTCGAATAATTTTTCTGGAGATATCCCGGATGTGTTCAGTCAGCTTTTGAGTTTTCAGTATCTTGTTGCTCATTCGAATCAGTTTACTGGTGGAATTCCCAGTTCATTGTCCAATTCTCCAACCATTAGTTTGTTGAATTTGAGGAACAATTCATTTGAGGGTCCTATAGTTCTTAATTGTTCAGCTATGGTTGCTTTGAACTCTCTTGATTTAGCTACCAATAAGTTTTCTGGTCCCGTGCCTGATAATCTTCCCTTGTGTAGACAATTGGAAAATATCAATCTTGCAAAGAATAAGTTCAGTGGCCAAGTCCCTGAGAGCTTCAGAGAATTCCATAGCCTCTCTTATATCTCCTTCTCGAATTCGAGCATCCGAAATCTGTCCTCTGCTCTTCGAATTCTGAATCAGTGTAGGAACCTGACTACTTTGGTCCTCACCCTGAATTTCCCCGATGAAACGTTGCCCGATGATCCCGATCTGCATTTCGAGAAGTTGAAGGTTTTGGTTATCGCAAACTGTCGACTTAAAGGTTCGATTCCTCGGTGGTTGAGAAATAGCACTGCTTTGCAGTTGTTGGATTTATCATGGAACCATTTGGCTGGAGAAATTCCACCATGGGTTGGAAGCTTTAGTGATCTGTTTTACTTGGACTTGTCGAACAATTCGTTTACCGGAGAGATCCCGAAGAGTTTAACTGAATTACCTAGCCTCATTTATCGAGATATCTCATTGGAGGAGCCTTCACCGGATTTTCCTTTCTTCATGAAAAGGAATGAAAGTGCGAGAGGATTGCAGTATAATCAGATTTGGAGCTTTCCTCCAACACTTGACTTTGGTCTCAACTCTCTTAGTGGACCAATTTGGCCACAGTTTGGGAATCTGAAAAAGCTTCATGTGTTTGATTTGAAGCTGAATAATTTCTCTGGACCGATTCCGGAAAATCTATCCGGGATGACCAGCTTGGAGATGCTCGATTTATCGCATAATGACTTATCCGGGACCATACCACCTTCACTGCAAAGTCTCAGTTTTCTGTCCGTCTTTAACGTTGCCAATAATCGGCTTTATGGGAAGATTCCTTCGGGGGGTCAATTTCCTACATTTCCGAGCTCAAGCTTTGAAGGGAACAATCTTTGTGGTGAGCACTGGTCCCATTGTCAAGATGCTACTACTAGCAAAGATCCCGATGAATCCCCGCAAAGATCAAGGAGGAACATAGATATCATCATTGGAATGGTTGTTGGAATCTTTTTCGGGACAGTTTTCGTGCTCGGCATTATTCTTGTGATTGTGTTGCGTGCGAATAATCGCAATGAGGTTGATCCCGAGAAAGAGGATGCTGACTCGAATGATGAAGATCCCGAAGAAACCGGTTCAAGGCTAGTTGTCCTCTTCCAAAATATGGAAACCTGCAAAGAACTCTCCATTGACGACCTTTTGAAATCGACCGAAGATTTTGACCAAGCCAACATCATCGGTTGTGGGGGTTTCGGTCTGGTTTACAGAGGCATCCTCCCCGATGGTCGTAAGGTTGCCATTAAACGGCTTTCAGGTGATTGCGGTCAGATTGATAGAGAATTCCATGCCGAAGTCGAAGCACTTTCGAGAGCTCAACATCCAAATCTTGTCCATCTACAAGGGTACTGCATGCATAGAAGTGACCGGCTGTTAATATATTCTTACATGGAAAATGGCAGTTTGGACTATTGGTTGCATGAGAAGGTCGACGGACCGTCTTCGCTTGACTGGGAAACGAGGCTGCAAATTGCACAAGGTGCAGCCAGGGGTCTAGCTTACTTACACCAGTCATGCGAGCCTCATATTCTGCACAGAGATATAAAGTCGAGCAACATTCTTTTAGACGAAAATTTCGAAGCACACCTAGCGGATTTTGGTCTTGCAAGGCTCATACTTCCTTATGATACCCATGTAACCACTGATCTTGTAGGTACATTAGGTTACATTCCTCCCGAGTACGGTCAAGCTTCCGTCGCTTCCTACAAAGGCGATGTGTACAGTTTCGGGGTCGTGCTTCTGGAGCTTATGACCGGAAAAAGGCCCATGGATATGTGCAAGCCGAAAGGATGCCGGGATTTGATCTCTTGGGTGATTCACATGAAGATGGAACATAAGGAGACTGAAGTTTTTGATTCATATATCTACGACAAGCAGCATGAAAAGGAAATGTTACAGGTTCTCGATATTGCATGCCTTTGTTTAAGCGAAAGTCCGAAAGTTCGGCCTACGACACAGGAGCTGGTTTCTTGTCTAGACAAGGTCGACATCGGCAGCTAGCTGGGCAAAGCAACGACAGAAAACTTCGGTTTTTCATAGTAATACACTATCGTATTGTAAATATTACTTTCTGATTTTGGAGGGATCTAACAGAAGCAACACAATTTTTGTAACTAACTTTCGTACAAGTTTTCACATTCAAAGTTGGTTTCTTGCTTTGGGAGATGATCGAATGCTTGGTTCCACAATGTAATATAAAGTAAAATTCGATTTGAAATATAAAGTTAGATATTTTACTCTGTTACTTGGACAAGCGGTTGAGTGTCGGATTCAAAGGTTCATGTTCGATACATGTGTTTGAATATGTGCCGGACACTCGGGTTTGGGGTGTTCCATCTCCTAATAGGAACTGGCAAACGAGAATACTAACTGAACTGGAAAAACATTGGATTATGTGTTTCAAGAACATTGTTAACAAGTTTTTATCCTGTTGCAATAATCGTGTAAGCAAACTCGAACTCACGTTATCATGCATATTACGATAATAATAATAATAGCCAAACGGACACTCAGTTGATCATTTCTCTTATTTTTAAAATATCAAAATAGTACAAATTAAATACAATTTATTTTAAAAAAACAAAACTAAACCAAACTGTTATCACTTAGCAGCCATAGTTTCACTAGCATTTGGTTGCGCAATACCATCAAATTAGACCACAAAATTGTTTGAAAAAATCAGACCATTTGACATTTTATTAAGAGCAATTTCTTGGTCGATAGGGTGGAAAAGAAGCAACTTCTTGGTTCACCGTACATTTGTAATAACATTTTTTTTTTTGTAATTTTTGTTTCTTTCTTCGGCAAGTTTTATTGCAGGCCAACTACCTATTTTATGACATTAACGGGTTTGACATTCAATGTTATTTGGACTGGTCACCTTCTATAAAGTTTATATATTTTTAATATTTTATATCGGATATTAATATAGCATGAAAGTGCAAATTCTTCAAATATACATAAAAAACTAAACATATAACTATCAGACTTGTATATATTGTTTATTATATATATCAATTCAATCGAATCTAATCAAGTGGGCTCAAACAATTCAATTTTTTTTTTATCTTGAACATGTTTTCTGGCTTTAAACATAAATCTAAATCAAACTCGAGCCCTAATTTTGAATCGAACTCACATAAAGCACAATTTGACTCGATTAAACCAAAATTCAAAATACAACTACCATTCAAGAAAATGACTAAAGGGCTTGTTGACAGTCGGTTAGGTTTAGAGTGGTAGGTTTTTCATGGATCAACAAGTCAACCTGCTTCTAAATACTGATGTCCAATTGTTGATTCCAAATTCTTACGTCTCTCATCCACATCTTGATTCAGCTATCTAATCATCTTGCCAAGGTACGTCTCACGTTTCTGTATTTTTGTTTCATCTCTTCCTGAAACCAAACCTTCAATGTTTTTTTTGGTCAGAAATCAAATATTCATGTTAGGAAGTTAGTTCATACACTTCAACATAAACACCATCGTCCGTTCGAAAACGGAGCCAGGTTTCGAGGTTTCAACGGTTACAACAGCATTCCATAAAATCAAAATAAAATTTATCCATCATCGGTATTACCTTACATGAGTTTATGTTACCAAAATAGTCGATATGTTCCACAATTTCTAATCCAGAAATAAATTAAAAGAAAAAAATCTAAGGAGCCCCTCCATTTGAACACATTGAGAGGTTGGGAATCCATGAGATCAGCTTGCGAGTACAAACAAAACACCAAACTATTAGTTTTTGCCTTCCCTATGGCTAATTTTTTTCTGTTCTTTTTGCACAGGGTACTACAACAAGAGCCATGTTGTAAAATCATTACAAAAGTATCCGGAATCGTTCAGTGTATGGGATGGTACTGGGTAATACCTCGTTTTGGTGGCAACTTCCTCAAGATGAAAAGGACTAGAGATGAAGGTAATATCTCCACCAACTGCTCAACAAAAGAACCATGTCATTGAAATATATTTCAAAAGTTATATCTGTAATCGAAATCAAGAAACACATAAACCTTATAATTTCGAACACGGTATAAAAATAACTAAAACATGTCACAAAAATTGAAATATAACAATTCCTCTAGAGTATATATTTTCAAACCTAGAATTAGTGTCAGGCTTACGCACCCAAACGACTATATAAGCAATTAAAGCAAGAGAAAAAGATTTGAAAAAGATTAGGGCTAAAGAATTATAAGGATATAATAGTTCTTAGTAGTGAATAAAATACTTGAGGGGAGATACCCAAGTTCCGCAATCTTATTGTTTTATTTGGTTATCTTGTAAAGCCGAAGCTGCTCATTGCTCAGTGGATACCGACTTGGCTTATGATTATTATCTATATTATCGTAGGTAAATAAAGAATATTACTGACAAGGTAAAGATAGTATAACACTTAAAGAGCCAAGTCACACCAAATTGTGGTCAGGAGTAAATGTAGTACAAGTCAAATTTGTTGATTATATTCAAAAAATAATTATACATTCAACAATACAATCAGAATATAGTTGCAATGATATATATATTTTATTTAATTAAACAAAACTCACAAAATCTAAATGCAGTTATATTCGTCAGCTTCATTAGTTAATTTCGAAAACCTAAGTCTAGAAGACTTAAATCTCAATAACAGTAAAACTACATAGCTAACTAGCAGGCTTAAGTTCTAATTATCAGTGAAACTACATAGGTAAAATTACTAAACCTAAAGTCCAAAAGCTAGTTTGAAGTTGGGTGATGATAATCTAACCAAACCGGATAGTATAGATGTTAAAACTATCTCCTGTGCTTGCAGAAGTCATAAAAGTTAAATTAAAGCTGATCACGGAACATTCTCCTATCAGATCTCAACAAAAGACTAGGTAGTTTCTTGAAACATGCATTCCTAGTCATCTGAAAGATGTATATGCAGCAAAAAAAAAATGAGGCAAATGTGGCATTTTTTCTGTTTTTATATGGCAATAAGATGAGTTAGGCAACCTTTGCACTGTTTCAATATGAATCTCTTAATAAGTAGCAATAAGCAACATGATAGAACTATTTACCAAACTTACCAGGTAATATATGAGGTTTAGAACTGGATGGTCCAAAACATCAAGGTCAGCGGCTTTGTCGAATGCATTAAAGCACATCTACACAAAAAAACAACAATAGAGTTCAAATATGATAAACTTCAGTCAAATAACCAATGATTGGTGAATTGGATATTGATCTAAACCTATACCAGCTAGCAGATAAACGTTCAACTAAAATACTTCCATTTTGTAGCAAAAGTGCTATAACATTATAGGTATCTACAAGTTTCACAAAGCCTAAGGAAACTTGCTAAAAGCATTTCAAATTGAAATATGTATATAGAAGAGCCAGAAAGGAAAGAAGAGATCCACCATAACGCATCTGACTAGGAAACATGAGAAGCATATGGTCGTCACGTAGCCAACCTGCCCAAGCCAAAAAGAAATAACAGTAAAAAATTGTAAATAAAAAGAATTATTGGAATAAGAAGCCACAACTACTGAGTAGATTTGTACTTCTTGCAGCTTCTTACGCCGCCCTTTGGACTCTACAGGGAACCGCTGCAACATTAAGAAAAGCCTGCAAAGAAATATATTGTTACACAGCTTCTCCATGCAATTTGCATACAAATCATATTATTAGACAATTTCAATAAAAGGAAAAGAAATTGGGGATATAAAGGTTTAAAGTAACAACATCTTATGTTTATTATTTCCTAATAAAATGAGAAATATGTTACATTAATTGTGAAATGCATAAAGTTAAGCTGACTTTAATATTTTCTATCAGCTAATGCAACAAATTCTGTTTTCCTATCTAAAATATTTTAGTAAATAAATAAATAATGATTAAAAAATCAACAATAGAAAATATTTCATAATCTGGAAATAAGAATGAAGACAATTAATGAAATAAAAATAATGCAGAGAGTAAATGTTTTTTCTGTCTTCACAAGATTCCAAACCCCTTAAGCCACTTTAATACATGGCATAGATATCATACATATTGAATTAGCTTGGGACCAAGTAAGATGCCCCATAATTATACTAGACCTTAGTTAAGAAGCAAGAGAGACCTTTTAACAAAGAAGCTGAAGAGTTACCAATAACAGGCACAATTTTGAATAACATAGAAAAGAAAAGAAAATGATATGCCAGTTTCAGCATGCAGCTTTGACATAAAACCCAATAATCACATGGAACTTGATCTTATGCCATTAAAACAACTAGAAACAATACAATAAAGGCAATATAATTACCTTCCACCATATAGTAGAAACCCAAGGGCTGCAAACAACGATACACCTGCTCATATACATAAGATTAAAATAAATTTTATTTGTTAGTGAAACAAGTTATCATGAGATAAATATCTATAAAGCATCTAAAATTACTTAGGCTCCATTTGCTAAATGCTTTTCATTTATGCCCTTTGCTCTTTTTTTTTTTGCAAAAAATAAATAGATAGAAAAAGCAAAAATAAAATTTTAATAGAATACAAAAGATCAGCAAAAGAAAAAAAAACCATTTTACAAAATAGAGGCCAAGCGATTATCCAGAAAAAGTCTAGAAAGCACCAAAGGTTCAAGAACAGTTAACTATTATAAACCTATTAAGGATACAACAAATATTACCTGCAAAGAACACCTTAGAAAGAACGACCAAAACTGGTATATATTTCCACCATAATATCAACCACATTGCAATCTGAAATAGATTCCCCCCAGTCCCACATAACAAAAAGGAAATTTAGTAATATTTTCTCAAAAGTTATAGTTCCAGAGTAAATCTAATATGCAAAGATACTTACAAGAGTGATAAAATGACAGCCTAGCTAGGACGAAAGAAATCTGTACTGTAGGTTCATATTTACCACTAAAATCTAGAACAAGTTCCATTATACCCTTGTCACTGTTCTAGCAAGAGTTATAGTGTCTTCTAACCTACTAGCTTGATCTTATGGTTACTCTTATCCAACCAACTCGTATTTATAGAAACAAGTATCAGGCTAGCTTGTAAGCATTGCTCCAGAAGAAGAAATCATTAACAGAATGAAGAAAAATGAAGCTAATGCAAACACAGTGTGCAGAAGTGCAAAGCATCATAGATAGTAACAAAGTTTTTTAGCAGTGAAGCTGAAAACATAAGCAATTTAGTATAACATAACACATAAGAAGTCCCAAACTACCACTCGCTTCTTTTCAACGTTGTTTTCTCTAAATTTATCTTCTCCCTTGAAGTTGACATGTGACTTTTGCTTTGAACTAATCTTCCCAAGCCCAATATTCATCTCATAAATGTAAAAGAGTTCATTGTTTTCAACTAATGACACTGCAAAATGGACAGTTGATTATTTCCTAATTTAAGTCTCGTACAATTAAAAGAATTAAAATGGAAAATAAGTCTAACAAAATTTTTCCACGTGGGCAGAAACTTTAGATCCTCCCTCCAAGAAAAACGAAGATCATTTATGAACAATATGTTTATTGATATCATCCCATTTACAGTATAGCTATTCACAAAGTCACAGAGGGCACCAATCTACTCTGTCAAAGCTTGGCACCCTTCTCCCCACTAAACGTTTATAGAATTTGCAAGAAATTAGCCAAATAAGTAAATAAGGAATACCATATAATAGCAATGTTTTATGAAACATAACTAGCTCCTGAATAGAAAGAATCCAGCTTCCAATCCTCCATTTGTTGGCCATTATACCAAAATAATAGAACATAAATTTTACCTGAATTGTATAAACCACTGCATTAATTGTAAAGAAGCTTGGCCTTAGTCCATCGGTTGATACAGCACGAGCCTGTTTTAGGATACATAGAGTTAAGATAAAGTAATACAAAAATACAAAAGACCAGGGCAAGGAGACAAGCTAGCAAAAAGCGCAAGCAACATAACCTGGTAGTAAATTTCAGCCCAAAACAAGACCAAAAGTGCATAAGTCGTGAAGAAAGCTAGACTTGGCATGTCAAGCAAGATATGTTGAGCAATCTACGAAAAAAAGAAACATCGGACAACAAACCATGAACAATTCAAGCTAGAGAATAAATCAGAAAGAAACACAAAACATGTAACGGTTTGTTGCAAACCTCTGGATGTAAGTTCTGCACATCCCGTCTGAAAACAAATACTAGCCCACGAACTGCCATATAATTGAAAGCATTATAAATAAATAAAAAACCAAAATAAAACCCACAAAAAAGTGTTAAAAATAGAAATTTTCAGATACAAACCCCCATTCACCAGAAAATTCAGAAAATGGAAGACCTTCTGCGTGGTCCACCCATACTCCGGAACCCTCAATTGTATCCGAATCAATTGAACCTAAAAATATCAAAAATTAAACGAGTATATGAAAAAAAACTGAACATTAATAAGCGTCTTCCTGGCAATAACATCATATTATGTAAAAGTACTAAAAACAGATTCTTAATTGCACGTAGTTCTTGTTTTTTCTCTCTTTGATTAGAACCTTCTTTTTCACATTAAGATGAAGATAAATCCAATAAGCAAAACACGTTTATCTTTCAATTTGAAAGGGCTAATCATCAATTTTCCTAGACAAGCAAGCAATCAAACCCAGAGCTAAACCCTAACTTCTAACAAATATTTTTTTTTCTTAAAAGGTAAATATATAAAGTATTGATGAAAAGGGGAGGGGATGCATACGAAGGCAACGGCGGCGACGAGACCGTAAAGAGCTGCGAGAATGTGAAAAATCCGATACTGCCAGAGCGGCGAGTCGTTAATGTCGTGCCACCAATTCGATGCTTCTTTCAGCTTCAAAGCTACCACGTCCTCCTCCACACCGTTACGCTCCATCTCTCTCTCGCCAATCTTCTTTGTCTTCTGCTTTCTCCTCTTATTTCTAATTAATAACGTTAAAATTCCAAATTAAGAGTTGATTGATTTGATTTTTTCCCTTTCTCTTTTTATATCAAAACAAGATTTGAGCATCAAAATCAAAATCCTAAGAAAAGTTTAATCAACTTCGATTTGATAATAGTTTCTCGAATTTTTTTTCCTCCATTACGAATTATTATGGAGCAAAGCAAAGAAGGTCGACGAAAGGCAGAGGCGTGGAATAAGAAAGAAAAAGGGTGATTTGATTTTTTTAATTAATTATGTTCTTTTCTTTTCCTCATTTAATACACGCTTAAAGAAATAAATTATCGATTTTATTACTATTTTTTTAATAAAATCAATAAAATATTATCAAAAATATTATTATTTCTATTTTTTTATTATTAAATGTTTTATCAGTTTTGTTAATATATCTGATAAAATATTATCAATTTTATTATTTTTTTACTGATTTTGTTATTATTAAACACTTTGCCGATAAAAAATTATCTAAAACATTATTATTTCTACCTAAAACATTAATATTTGTTAATATTTCTGGTAAAGTGTCCAATAATAACAAAATCGATAAAAAAATAACAAAATCGATAACGTTTTACATGATATATTAATAAAACCGATAAAACATCCAATAATAAAAAACGGTATAAATAATAATATTTTCGATAATTTTTTATTAATTTTTTAAAAAGTAATAATAAAATTGATAACGTTTTTTTTAATCGTATATTAAGACTGTAGTGAGAGTTTGTCGATCTATCATTTAACCACCAATGAATACTGCGCTGCCAAATGTTAGGCTTGAACTGGCTAATGCATTAGGATCACGATTTGTTTTTTACTGTACACGTAAATAATACAAACAATAATATTTACTTTAAGCTATTACATTTTAAAACGTTATATAAAATTTAAAAAATAAAATATGAATTAATTTTATTATATAAGTATTATTATAATATTTGGTAGGTGTATGTTTAAATATATTTAATCTTATATTATCTTTTAATTTAATAAATTTAGATACTTGAATTATAATGGTTACTATTATGTGAGTGTATCATCTTCTAAATTTATTTATTTTTAAATAGTCAAAGATGATCATAGGATAATACATATTTAGATTTTTTTTAGTCATTAACAACTTACATATACCATCTCAGTCCATCTCAGTCTAACCAGTCGAACTCATATTCTCTAAGGAGAATAACATTTCATTTTATCTCTTAACTCATTCAATGGATTCAATATTTTTGCAGAAAAAATCAGCTAATTTTATTAAGAAAAATATCTAAAATTACAATGTGGGATTACTATTAGAACCGTAAACTAAACGCATAATTAAAATATTTTTTTATAACCATCAAGAAAAAAATTAGTTATTTAAGATCATATATGGAGGACCATAAAATGAAAAGGTGAAAAACACATTCAAAAAACCTCGAACAATAGGTAGATACAAACAGATCTTACTGCTACTACAAACAAACTACAACAGGGAATTCAACTATTGAGTGACCTCCGAAAAACGCAAATCACAGTTAAGTATCGTGAGAAAACCATCTACGAACGTAGATTGCGTATCAAAATCTAATTTGACAGTCCAAAATAGAAAAGATCAGCGGGATAACAAATGAGTGTCATCTTGATTAGTCGCGATGATGTCAAATCTAATCCTAAAAAAATAAACGATCAAACGAAAAAAAAATAAAACTAAAAAAATGCCAAAAGACAGTAAAAAGGTGTCATAAGATAGAAAGAAAAAACATATCATAAATGCATAATTATTAGAAAAAAATTAAAAAACAATATCAATAAAACAAATTATTTTATTCATATTCCCTTAAAATTATCAAATCAATAGTTGAAATATACTAATTACTTATTCTCTACAAACAAAACATCGGTTTAGTTGAATTTATATTATAGTATTTGATTCCAACTATAATCATAAAAGTAGATGTAATGGTACTTACACCCCGTACAAAAATCAATATAATTTTAAAATATCGATAAAGACAAATTATTCAAGTTCAAAATAATGTGAATTTATTGGGTATTTAATTTTAAAAAAATAAAAAGAAATAAGTTTACTTTTATATAAACATTAAAAATATCATTATATAATTTTTTTTTTGAAAGAAACAAGGGCTACTTCAACTCTACATGTACCTTCATCCTTAGTTGAAGGATTTATATATCACTCAATAATACCATTAATTTATAATTTAAAGTTTTAATTTCTTTAATAACATGGTAAAATACATAAATGATTTCCAACTATAAGGCATTACTATATTGATTTCATTGATTATTAAAAACTATAAAATTATTCTTTGACTATAAGGTCTTACTTTATAGAGTTTTTCAATTATTAAAAGTTACAAAATAGTCACTATACTATTCATATGATTTAAATTTGTCATTTTTTGTTAAAAATTTGACAGTCGTTTGAGCTAGACTTTAACCTACTAACTGAGACATGATAAAATATGATCCTATAATTTCAAATGACTATAAAATTCAAGTAGGCATGAGATCATGTTTTATCATATCTCAGTCAGTATGTTAATGTCCAACTTAGAAGAAAGTCAAATTTTTAACATAAAAGGACGAATATGAAACATATGAATAGTCGGGTGATTGTTTTATAACTTTCAATAGTCATGAGACTCAATAAAGCAATGTACTATATTCGATGGATCATTTTATAACTTTTAATAGTTAATAGACTTAACAAAACAACATCCTATAGGCGGAGACCATTTATATACTTTACCCTTAATAATATCTATATCGTAATAAAAAAAAGTAATTTTATTTATACTTACGTGATAACATGTCATTACTTTTAATAATATAACATTGATAATATAAATTAGATTAAATTAAATTAAATTAAATATATATAAATTTAATTAAAAAAAATGTTAATCATATTAAAAAATTTAAAATTACAATAAGAATTTATAATTATAATTGTAAATTAAATACATATTTTGAACATTTTCCTATAACTTTAACACAAGAAAATACTCGCTTTAAATTATACAAAGACTATACATAGAAAATGTTAAAAACTCAACTAGAAGACTCGAACAAAAAATAGATGCGAACAAATTTGATTTTAGATCAGATCAGATTACCCGCATCGATCCGACAGTCCAGTACGAGAAACTGGCTGTAAGTAGAGCAAGACTACAGGATCATTAGTTTAGCTAGATTTTAGCTTTCTCTTTTACATTAAAAATATGTATAGATTGATATTTTAAGTTTTTTGAAAACTAATTTTATATAAATCACTTTAAAATTATATCACTATTATTTAAAAATTAGTATAAAACATTTTTAATTTTAATATCTCAATTTGAATTTCCTAAGTTGACGGTGGTAGTGGTGGACTTTTCATTCATCTCCTAAAACATTAGAACCTCTCCGACCAAAAGAAGAAAAGTATTGACCCACAAGCAAAACGTGAGCGCATCCCATTGCCACAAACAAAATTTCCTACCAATTTATAGTGTTCGCTTTCGTTGTCCATCACACAACTTCGTAATCCCAACCATATTTTAATTATTTCTTATCCTTTTCAAATCCATTTTTGAAGGTCGGTTAATCCACAATCGTGAAGGCACTAAAACCATATTTTGCCGATTCTACAGCTTCATTTAATTCATACTTCCAGTCAGTCCATTCATGTTCATTATCACCGCCAATAGCAATGGTTTCCGTTGTTATCCTTCCCACTTTTCATTACCCTTAATAAATGGTCTCAAGTTTAAGCTTCCCTCTTCTTCCTCCTCTCCTCCCTTTTAAAATCAACCTCCGTTTCTCAACTCGGTACAAGAAGAAGAACAAGACCCGACTCGTTAATCTCTTCATCCCACACCGGAAGTTCCGTCTTCTTGCTTGTGCAATCCCCGGTCCAAATCCCAGCAGGCTTAATGTAAGGGTCGCTAGAAATATCGTAGCCAATGGCTTTTCGAATGAGTTTGTGGATGGGGAAAGTGAAAGGCAAGAAGCTTCAATCCAAATGGGTTCAAACTTCGCTAGTTTCGAACAAGATCCCATTGTTGACAAGCTAAGGACTCAGCTAGGCGTTATCCACCCAATCCCTTCTCCACCAATTAACCGTAACATTTTTGGGTTTTTTGTTTTTTTCTTTCTTGTCGGGGTTGCTTTTGATAAAATATGGACTTCGAGGAAAAGGAGGGGCAAATTAGTTAGTATGGGAGCTGGGGTTTGGCCTCAAGTTCCAATCAGTTTTTCTTTGATATTGGAAAAGGATTTGCAAAGGAAAGAATCAGTTGAATGGGTTAATATGGTGTTGGGAAAGTTGTGGAAAGTTTATAGGGGTGGGATTGAGAATTGGATCATTGGCTTATTGCAACCTGTTATTGATAACCTTAAGAAGCCTGATTATGTCCAGAGAGTTGAAATTAAGCAGTTTTCTTTAGGGGACGAGCCTTTGTCTGTTAGGAATGTCGAGCGTAGGACTTCGAGGCGTGTCAACGATTTGCAGTGAGTTTTTTTGCCACTTCAAAATTATCAGAACTTTGTTATTGCTATTGTTGTTGCCATAGTTATTATAATTTTCCTAGTGCACTTGTATTGTCCATCATTGTCGATTCCTATGAAGATCTAATTATCAAGTTTAAGTGTTCTTGATATCTTGATTGGAGGTTCAATAAAAGTATGATGTTAAATTCGATGCTTAATGTGCTATTGATTATTTGAGGATATATGGAGGTTCTGCTTATAAATTTGAGAGCGCATTTGACTTTTGTTTACATATTATAGGTATCAAATAGGGCTTCGTTATACTGGTGGTGCTCGGATGTTATTGATGTTGTCATTAAAATTTGGCATTATACCAATTGTCGTGCCAGTTGGTATTCAGGATTTTGACATTGATGGAGAACTTTGGGTTAAATTGCGATTGATTCCAACAGAACCTTTTGTTGGAGCTGTTTCATGGGCTTTCGTCTCACTTC